TACACTGAACACAACTGTTTGCACCCTCTCTCGGCGATACTCTTGCACACAGGGTCCCTCCGCAGCCGGCCGGCGGCGCTACCCCGCTCCTCCGCCGCGGAGACCCCGGTCGCAGGTGCGGCAAGTACGTACGCGCGGTGCGGCGGCGTTGCGCGGTCAATTTAAAGCGGCCGACCTCATTAGAGGTCTTTGCGTGGTACAGCCCTCCGCGTCCGCGACGCGCCGCACGCTGCCACGCCGCAGGACCTAAAAACCCCAACGGAAAAAAGTGGTCATAATGACGGCGCACGAGACGAGCTGGCGTCGTCCTCCGCGAGAAGACTCTTCCTTCACACCTCCAGCACGGCCCGCCCAGTGGGCCCGCCCAGAGCGCGGGCTCACGTCTCCAGGACGCCCGCGTACTTCTCCAGCGCGACGGCGACCTCCGCGTGCCCGAAGCGGCGCGCGTCGTCCACCGGCATGTGACCCCACCTGTGTGACGTCAGCGCAGCGTCAGCGGGCCAGACGGGCATTCGTCCGCACAGTCCACACACTACTGTATAGTGTATTGTATTGAACTTCGGCGCTTTTGATGTGAGAAGAATGGCTGGTAGAACATGCAGGTTCCTATGGTTGGTCCAGCCTTTACCCTCTTCAGCCTGACGTGACCTAACGGTATATGTGGGAGATTGGGCGTACTTTTATTTGCCTCTGCCTGTGACAGTAGCTTTCAGCAGCATTCTCTATTTGGAAAAGGAAATGAACCTATAGCCACTAGCTCTAACTCACTAATACAAACTTCATCCAAGATTTTTTTTTTCTCTTGCTTCGGAGACGGACTCTCCGGTCCGAACGAACCAGAAAAGCCCGCCCTAATAGTAGTCCCAAGGCACAGAGGAGGTAGGAAATAGCTGAATCATCTTCAAGGCAAGGCCCTCGAAACTTATTCCAGAAGCCCAGGATCGTGGATCGCCAGGCCGCGAGCAGCAGCAGCAGAAGCCGCAGTGCATTGAAAAAGAAATGAGTTCGCGAAGACCTGCCAAAACAGTCGCACTGCTCACTGCCCCCCGCCGCTGACTGCAAGAACGCTGATATTGTTCTTCAAAGGTTGGGTGGTGCATATGCCAAGCTGCCAACCATCGTGTTTTGGGGCAAGCCACTTCCCTCTCCCTTCTCCCGCTTCTCCTTGTCTTTCTTCCCATTCCCCGCGCGCGCACGCACACGCACACGCACACACGCACACACGCACACACACACAACACACACACACACACACACACACACACGCACACACGCACACCTGTCGCGAACGCTGGCGAGGAAGCCGCAACGCTCCAGTAGCAGGTTGACGGCGTCCTGGTGCCCCTCGGCGGCCGCGACGTGCAGGGCC